ATTAGTCAGACGTGGTGGTGGGCACCTGTAATCCCAGCTACTCAGGAGGCTGAGGCAAGAGAATCGCTTGAACCCGGAAGTTGGAGGTTACAGTGAGTGGAGATCGCACCACTGCACTCCAGCCTGGGCGACAGAGTAGGACTCCGTCTCAAAAACAAAAACAAAGAAAAAAAGAAAAGCTAACACTGCATGCTTATGTGTCAGACACTTCCCATGTATTTTTTCATTAATTCCCACCACAACCCCTTGAGGGAGGTACGATAGTCCCCATTTCACAGACAAGAAAACTAGGGTGGGGAGAAATTAGATTTGCCCAGGGTCACCCTGCTAGGGAGTGGCAGAGCCAGAATTCCTGCTGGGACCAACTGGCTCCAAGGGCCCATGTACTCCCTCCCTGTTGCCTCTCACTAATGACAATACTGCCCTGGCCATTCAGAAAGGTGCTTTACCTTAGCTGATATTCATGTGGTTTTGTTTGCATCCATTGCTATTCATGGAGGGAATTACAACTCAGGAAAACTGACCTTTTCTACTTCTGATTCAACTCCAGACACAGGTCTAGTCTCGTTTCTGAACCCTCTGCTTTTCCATTGATTTGAATCCATAAAAAATCTAATAGTCTATGTATCCAGTGCCTTACAATTGAACACTAAGAAGCCATCAAGCATCATATTTATTGTATTTTATAGTTATACACAATGTGTTGACACAGAAATTTACAGCAAGTAAAAAAGTTACAAACTTGTCATATGCCTCCATTTAAAAATGTGACTCATATTCATAGTTATAGATTTGGAAAATATAAAACCAACTTGTGTTAATGATCTCTTAGTGGTAAGTTTACAGGTGGTTTTGTTTAAAGTGTCATAGTAATTTTGCTCTCCTAAAAATTCTCTGTTCTTTGCCTATTCCTTTCCTCCCTCATAACCTTTGGCGACTGCTGATCTTTTTACTGTCCCCATAGTTTTGTCTTTTCCAGCATGCCATATTAAATTTCCAGGAGTAGGATTGCTGGATCATATAGTTTAAGTATGTTTAGTTTTGTAAGAAACTGCCAAAATGTTTTCCAAAGTGGCTGACCCATTTTGCATTCCCACCAATAATCAATGAGTTCCTCCAAGCCAGGCGCAGTGGGTCATGTCTGTAATCCCAGCACTTTGGGAGGCTGAGGCTGGCGGATCACTTGAGGTCCTGAGTTGGAGACCAGCCTGGCCAACATGGTAAAACCCCGTCTCTACTAAAAATACAAAAATTAGCTGGGTAGGGTGGTGGTGCCCGCCCGTAATCCCAGCTACTCAGGAGGCTGAGGTAGGAGAATCGCTTGAACCTAGGAGGTAGAGACTGCAGTGAGTTGAGATCATGCCACTGCACTCCAGTGTGGGCAACAGAGATACATTCTGTCTCAAAAAAAGAAAAAGAGAAAGAAAAAAAGAGCTCCTCCACATCCACACTAGCATTTGGTGTTGTCAGTATTTGGAATTTCCACCATTCTAATTGGTGTGTTGTGGTATCTCATTTTGTGTCTCTGATGAGATATGATGTGGAACATTTTTTTCATATGCTTATCTTCCACTTGAATCTTCTTTGGTGAGATGTCTGTTAAGGGTTTTGGTTCAATTTTAAAAGTTGGTTGTGTTCTTATTCATGAGTTTTAAGGGTTGTCTATTTTGGATAATATTTATCTGTCTTTTGAAATTTTTTCCTCCCAGTCTGTGGCTTCCCATTTCATCCTGTGACAATGTCTTTCACAGAGTGGAAAATTTAAAATTGTAATGAAGTCTAGCTTATCATTTTTTTTTATGGGTGGTGCCTTTGGTTTTATATCAAAAAAGTCATTGCCAAACCCAAGGTCTGGTAGATTTTCTCCTAAGAGTTTTGTAGTTTTGCATTTTACATTTAGGTCTGTGATCCATTTTGTGAATTCTTAGGAAGGATGTAAGACCTATGTTTACACTCATTTATTTGCATGTGGATGTCTTAGTTATTCCAGCACCATTTGTTGAAAATACTGTCTTCACTCTGTCACATTGCCTTCGCTCCTTTGTCAAAGATCAGTTAACTATATGTGGGTCTATTTCTGGGTTCTCTATTTGTTCCACTGCTCTGTCCATTCTTTGACCAATACCACACTGTCTTGATTACTGTAGTTTTTATAGTATGGGTAGGGTAAGTCTTCTGATTTTGTTTCCTTCAATATTGTGTCGGCTATTCTTGGCTTTTGCCTTGCCATATAAACTTACTATTTTTTTCTTTTTTTGAGACGGAGTTTCACTCTTGTTACCCAGGCTGGAGTGCAACGGCGCGATCTCGGCTCACCGCAACCTCCACCTCCTGGGTTCAGGCAATTCTCCTGCCTTAACCTCCTGAGTAGCTGGGATTACAGGCACGCGCCACCATGCCCAGCTAATTTTTTGTATTTTTAGTAGAGACGGGGTTTCACCATGTTGACCAGGATGGTCTCGATCTCTTGACCTCGTGATCCACCCGCCTCGGCCTCCCAAAGTGCTGGGATTACAGGCTTGAGCCACCGCGCCCGGCAAACTTACTATTTTTTTGAGATAGAGTCTTGCTCTGTCACCAGGCTGGAGTGCAGTGGCATGATCTTGCCTCACTGCAACCTCTGACTCCCTAGTTCAAGTTATTCTCCTGCCTCAGCCTCTCGAGTAGCTGGGATTACAGGCATGGACCACCACACCCAGCCAATTTTTGTATTTTTAGTAGGGACAAGGTTTCACCATGTTGGCCAGGATGGTCTCCCATCTCCTGACCTCATGGTCTGCCTACCTTGGCCTCCCAAAGTGCTGGGATTATAGGCGGGAGCCACCATGTCAGTCTTCCATATAAACTTTCAAATCAGTTTGTTGATACCTGCAGAATAACTTCCTGGAATTTTAAGATTGCACTGAATCTATAAAGTTAGGAAGAACTGACATCTTAATAATATAGTCTTCTTATTCATGAATGGGCTACCTCTGCTTTTTTTTTCTTTGATTTCTTCCAGTGGAGTTTTGGAGTTTTCTTCGTATAGACGTTATACATTTTTACAAGTTTTATACCTAAGTACTTCATATGTTGGGTACAAATGTAAATAGTCTTGTGTTTCAAATGTCAAATTCCACTGTTCACTGCTGGCATATGAGAAAGTAATTGATTTTTGTATATGAACCTTGTATCTTGCAGTACTGGTATAATCACTTATTAGTTCCTGCTTTTAAAATTCATTCTGATTTTCTACATAAATGGTCATGTCATTTGTGAAAAAGTTTTACTTCTTCCTTTCTAACCTGCATACTTATTTCCTTTTCTTGTCTATTGCATTAGCTAAAACTTCCAGTATGATGTTGAAAAGCAGCAAAGGGGGCCATCCATGTCTTGTTCCTCTTAGAGTGCAGTGGCATGATCATGGCTCACTGCAGCCTTGACCTCCTGTGCTCAAGCAATCCTTCCACCTCACACCCCTGAGCAGCTGAAACTACAGGTGTGTGCCACCATGCCTGGCTAATTTTTCTATTTTTTGTAGAGACAGGGTTTCATTATATTACCCAGGCTGTGTTTTTTTTTTTTTTTTTTTTTTTTTTTAAGTAGCTGCTCTTTATCCAACTGAGGAAGTTCCCATTTTCTTATTTTACTGAGAACATTTTTTCTCATGATTGTGGTGTATCTTGCTAGTATTTTGATTTGATGAGAATTACTGCATCTATGGTCATGAGAAATATTGGCTTTATTGGCTTAGTCTTTTTTTTTTTTTTTTTTTTTTTTCGGGTAGAGTTTTGCTCTTGTAGCCCAGGCTGGAGTGTAATAGTGTGATCTTGGCTCACCACAACCTCCGCCTCCTGGGTTCAAGTAATTCTCATGCCTCAGCCTCCCAAGTAGCTGGGATTACAGGCATGCAGCACCACACCCAGCTAATTTTTATATTATTAGTAGAGATAGGGTTTCTCCATGTTGGTCAGGCTGGTCTCAAACTCCCAACCTCAGATGATCTGCCGGCCTCGGCCTCCAAAAGTGTGGGATTACAGGCATAAGCCACCACGCCCGGACTGCAGTCTTCTTATAATCTTTGGTTTTGAAATTGAGGTAATCCTGGCCCCTTTGACTGAATTAGGATATATTCTTTCTGCGTCTATCTCTGGAAAAGACTGTAGAGAATTGGTATAATTTCTCCCTAAGTATTCAGTAGAATTCCCTAGTGAATCCATCTGGGTCTGGTGCTTTCTGTTTTGGAAAGTTACTATTGATTCAGTTTCTCTTATAGGTCTATTCAGATATAGGTCTATTTCTTCTTGTCTAAATTTTGGTAAATTGGCTTTCAAGGTCCATCTAGGTTATCAAATTTGTTGGCATGAAGTTGTTCATGATATTATCTTTTTAATGTCCATTGACTCTGTATTGAAGTTTCTTCTCATTTCTGATATTAGTTATGTCCTTTTGTTTTCCCCTGGTAATTATAAGCTTTAAAAAGCACAGCTTTTTTTTTTTTTTTGAGTGGAGTTTCCCTCTTTTTGCCCAGACTGGAGTGCAGTGGTGTGATCTAGGCTCACTGCAGCCTCCGCCTCCCAGGTTCAAGTAATTCTGCCTCAGCCTCCAGAGTAGCTGGGATTATAGGCACTTGCCACCACGCCCAGGTAATTTTTGTATTTTCAGTAGGGATGGGGTTTCACCATGTTGGCCAGGCTGGTCTCCAACTCCGAACCTCAGGTGATCTGCCTGTCTCAGCTTCCCAAAGTGCTGGGATTACAGGTGGGAGCCACTACTCTTAATTCTTGTCTTCTGCTTACTTTGGATTTAATTTGCTATTCTTTCTCTAGTTTCCTAATGTGAACACATACATGATTGATTTTAGTTTTTTGTTTTGTTTTTTTTTTTTTTTTGAGACGGAGTTTCACTCTTGTTGTCCAGGATGGAGGGCAATGGAGTGATGTTAGCTCACTGAAACCTCTGCTTCCTGGGTTCAAGTGATTCTCCTGCGTCAGTCTCCTAAGTAGCTGGGATTACAGGTGCTCACCACCAGGCTGGCTAACTTTTCTATTTTTAGTAGAGATGAGGTTTTGCCATGTTGGCCAGGCTAGTTTTGATGTTCATTAGATTCAGCTGGTTGATGGTGTTAAATTCAACTATGTCCTTATCGGTTTTTCTGTCAATTAGTGCTTGCTAGTTTCTGTCAATTTCTGCTTGCTATTTCTTTCCATTATTGATAGAGGGGTGTTGAAGTCTCCAATTATGATACTGGATTCATCTATTTCTCATTGCAGTTCTACTGGTTTTGCCTCACATACTCTGTTAAGTGCACTGGTCAAATAAATAGTTGAGAATGAGGTTTTCTTTTCTTTTTTTTTTTTTTTTTTTGAGACGGAGTTTCGCTCGTTACCCAGGCTGGAGTGCAATGGCGCGATCTTGGCTCACCGCAACCTCCGCCTCCTGGGTTCAGGCAATTCTCCTGCCTCAGCCTCCTGAGTAGCTGGGATTACAGGCACGTGCCACCATGCCCAGCTAATTTTTTGTATTTTTTTAGTAGAGACAGGGTTTCACCATGTTGACCAGGATGGTCTTGATCTCTTGACCTCGTGATCCACCCGCCTCGGCCTCCCAAAGTGCTGGGATTACAGGCTTGAGCTACCGCGCCCGGCCAGAGAATGAGGTTTTCAAAGAGCTCTAGCGTTGTTTTCTCTGGTGGCTGCTAGGCTGCAACAGGAATGTGGGCTGTAGTTAGTTTACTACAGCTGGACAGTGAGAAATGCAACTAATCCAAGTTAAAACATGACCAAGGCTGTTGTTCTTAGGGAGATTTAACAGTTTTTCTTGAATAAATGCTCCTGAGGTTGCTGACAGCCTTTAATTTTCAGACTTCTGTTACAGTCAAGTTAGAAAATTTGCCAGTTTTATCACAGCTCTTATTAATGAGCTAATTTTTGAAGTCATTACTCTGCTATTTTCACTGACATCATTTAGCAAAAGCTTTTTGACCATTTGTGCTTTAAAGATGAAAATTTATGTTGGTTTCCATGAAGGGATTAAAAAAAGGTGAAAATTTAATTTTTCTTAAAGGTAATGAGAAACACTAAGATTAAATTACTATTTTCTCAATGAAAACACATGGACACAAAGAGGGAACAGACACTAGGGCCTACTTGAGGGTTGGAGGGTGGCAGGAGGAACACGTTCAAAAAACCACCTATTGGGTACCACGCTTATTACCTGGGTAATGAAATAATCCGTACACTAACCCCTTATGGCCTGAAGTTTACTTACATAACAAACCTGCACATGTTCTCTTGAACCTAAAATGTTTTAAAAAATTAGTTTCCAATTAAGGAAATACTACTTCAGCCTGTATTACAATTCTCATTAAGACAGTAGACAGGTGGGAAATGAGACAACCACAAGGAAATGAGAAGTAACACAAAAAGAGGGATGAAGCAGACAGATGGACACATTTTAAGTGCTGGAGAGGGAGAGACGGAGAACCGATTTAGAATGAAGAGCACTATATATCAGCATTTTTTCTTCATCTTAAAAGTAGTCACCAGCCAAGCTTTCTTATATTTTTTCAGATTAGGATGGGCTTTGGAAGGGATGAGCACAGTAGCACACCAGAGAAGGGTCTGGTGCTACATTTTTCTGGAGACCGGGGTAGGGGAAGAGGTTGGTGTTCTACCTTTGGAAAACAGCAGATCCTACAACCAGAAAATCAGTGGCACTGCCAAGCAAGAACTTTCCAACTCAAAATACATGTTTGCTGTCCAGTTTTATATCTGGACTACCCATACTATAAGGGTACCACAAAATGGGAAGGAACAGGAATAAAGGAAAGGCTACCAAGCATACCCATTGAAAAACTGAAAACAGCAACAAATCTGTTGGCATCATTTTTAGCAAACCAGGGAAACGGAACCCCAACTGTCCTCCTCCAAATGGCAGCGAATACTGCCTCATCCCAGAGGTAGGGCTTTGCCACGTGATTTGTTATGGCCAGTGGAGTGTTGGCAGATGTGATGCACGCAGAAGGCACGAACCATACTTGTGTGGTTGGGCTTGCCTTCTTGTGTTTCTATGATCAGTGTGGAAACTTCTGTATAACTTTTGTATTTCAGCCCAGGCCCAAGGATGAACATAGATGGAGCAGGTGGAAGCACAACTCATAGCAGGTAGAAAAGCCCAGCCAGAGACCTAGCTTGAAGCAGTCACCCAAATAAGCTATGTCAGCCAATCTGCAGAGGCATGAGTAAGAATATTTCAAGCAACTGAGATTTGGGGTGGCTAGGTGGAAACAGCAACTGAAACATAAGTAGATGTCATTCTTTTAGGATCCACTCCTGAAAGCAAACTATGTTACCTCCCCCTTTACCGCTGTATGCCGAGAAGCTAGCACAGTTCCTGGCACAGAGGAGGTGTTCAGTAAACAACTGTTGCAGACAGATTTACATGTTTCTTCTAAAAATAGCCTAGGAGAATAAAACTGAGGGAAACTTACATAATTTAGTGTTCAGTGTGTGCCTCAACTTCAAAATCAACAATTTGTACAAAGACCAGAAAGCATGTCAGCAGTCATTAGGGGGTAAGAGCACTATGAACATGACTGGCTGGATTTGAATCTAGGCTTCACAAATTACCAGCCAGATCACCTTGGCCAAATGTCACGTCATTTCCCTCTCTTTCCTCATCTTTTAAATGGTGCTATAAATAGTACCTACCACATGGAACAGTTGTGTGGATTAAGAGATAATTTATTTCAAGTACTTACAACCTTGGCTGGTACATGATAAATGCTGTATAGGCATTTTCTATTATTACCTGCATAAAGACCATTTTGAGAAAGGTTATTAAAGCCATCTTAATCTGTTCCTCCAATCACCTATTTATATCTATTTGTTATCATTTCTGTTATCTAATCTTGTACATGTTTCCAATTAGCTCCTTTGTATATTTTCATCATCTTTCTATTCTCAGGATTGCTAAGTGCCAATACCCACTCTATCCCAAAGCACCCCTCCACCAACTATTTTAAGAACTGCTGATTTTGTTCTTTTCACATAGGATATCATGTGCCCCCTTCTCCATCTGTTCAAATCATATCTGATTCTCAATGTCTAGCTAGTCTTCCATGATGCCTATTCTGATCTTCCCTCCCAATGTGGTCTTATTCTGTACCTTTTAGCAATTCATCTCTACCTCAATTACACTTTTATTACTTTCTACTTATACCTTTCCACAATAAAATTGCAAATTCCTGAAGGACAAGATCACAATTTCTTGGTTTTCTGCCCATTCCCACTCCCAAATATACAGCAGGCAAGCAATATCTGTTGAATATATTTGAAAATCCCATATAGACAGGTTCATTTAAAGTCTAAAATAGCTTTACTAAAACACCATTTTTTTTTTTATTAAAAAAAGGAAAAAACTAGTCACAATTCATGCTAGACAGTTTAAGGGAAAAGAATTTTGCATGTAAAAGAGGCAGACAATTTATTGCATTAAAAAATTTTATTTCTTTTAAAAGGTGCAATATAAGCCAAATTAACCCCCAAATTTACAGCTACACTTAGAGATCTCCTGAACTAAATGGCACTGAGTTGAGTGTCTTGTTAAAGGAGGTCATTTGCTATTACCACCATTTCCCCCAAAGTAGTTCTAGAGCTGGTACTGTATAATACACATCAGATATTTCAGATGTCATCTTTCATGCAGAATTTAAATTAAGCAAACAGGCTTTTCTACTCTGTGTGAGGATAAGAAACACTATAGAACAGGGCCTGAATGCTTTAGACATACAAGGTGTAACCATAAAGGAAATTTCTACGGCTCTGTGTTCGTTCATTGAAGTAGTTCATGTACTTATTCCAACAATACTGGTGGTGGTCAGACACCATTTGAGACAGTACTTTGGGGTTTCCCTTCATTGGGTGCAGACCAAAGGAAGTGGTTAAGTTGGGCGGGGGGGAGCAGTGGCAACTCTCACAGATGGACTACAAAAGTAATGAAAAAGATTTTAGTGGGCTGGCATTCGCAAGAACTACCTCAATGTTTTTGGTAACAGCATCATTTACATATAAAGTGATGCAGGATAAAAGTTCTGGTATATGTGATAAAAACAGCTTGTCACTTTATAGCTACACCTTGGATTTCATTAGATGTGGCAAATCTAATAGTGTGTCAAATAAGTCCTTCTGGAAATCACTTCAGCAGAGAAGTCAAACAGCCTGTAAAAGAGAAGACATGGCAGAATGTGCGTGATTCATCCTTCCAACATTCTCAGGGTTCTCATGGAGGACAGACCCAGGCCCAAAGACAGAAGTTACCAGGAGAGAGGCTTCAACTCCATCTAAGGAAGACCTTTCTAACAGTTAGAGCTGCTCAACAACTGAATGGACTGCTTGGTGAGGTAGAGTCACTTGGAAGTGTTCAAGGTGGAAAGATCACCCTTGTAGAAGGGACTCCTGCATTTGTTAAGAGGTTAGAGAGTGGATGAACCTCAGGTCTCTTTCAATTCTGAGATTCTAGAAAATTCCCTCAGGGAATTCAGAAGAGAATTCCTAAAAGGAAAGAGAAAGCACACATATGTATACTTTTAGAATCTGCTTGAATTTTTTTTTTTAAAGGTACAATAGAAAATGTAGTCCACTATCATTAAAATGCATATTTACCTTCCTACTACTAATAATCAGGAAGGGTTCATTATGACTTCTTTATATTATAAAGAAAAGATGGGGGTTTGGTTTATAATTTCTGTGAATATTTTAGAAAAAATGCTTAAAATCTAGTAGTCAATGCCCTAGAAACTTTATAGATTTGTAGATAATATGCACAGATACAAATACATTATTCATTAAATACAACTCACATCTGTGTTTTATTATACTCTAAAATATACAGGAATCTTGATGTACTGAAAGAGTGCAAGTAAATACAGTATTCAAGCAGTCACTATTTCTATGTACATGCTCGTTAATTCTTCAAAAAACCCACAAAATTATCAAATAGATCAAAATACTGTTCTGTGTTTTCACAATTTATATTCAGAAAAACCAGCTGATAATTTACAATTTCATATAAGTTTCCAGTTTCACAATACAAAAAGGATAAAATGAAATTGGGTATCATTTTGTTGCAATTTATAGAATTTTACCCATACCTGTAAGACCGTCAATGTATATGAAATCATTTTCACTGGGAAAGTGACAGAGTAATTGTCAACCACAGAAATTGTTACTTAAAAGCGGAAATATCAGCCTTCTCTCTCTCTTTTGCTATTTGAAAGGTAGTCTTCAATTTGGCAGGCAATTGCTTCTCTCACCAAATAGTAACTGGTTACAAACATGCTACCTTAAATATGAATAGGACCTAAGGCTTTAATATTTTAAATCTTGCCCAGTACAGAAGTGCTTCCCAAGAGACTTAGTGATGTTTAACTTATGAACAACAAGGGATGATTTTCCTTTTGATTATTCACTTTTTCAAAACTCATAGATCAGAATAAACAAAAAAATCTCCCAAGTCATGGTGGGGACACAAAAGTAATATAAGTGACTAAGGTGTGCCATTCAAAGTAGAGAGGCTGAAGACTCCAGGCTCGAGGACCACTACTATAGTTGCAATAGGGTGAAATAATCTACTTTGGATTTCATGAATTTTTTTTCTAGGAAATTTACATTTTTAAACAAAAATAGTACTATTTTAAACCCAAACCATTCAACACAGGGCAAGAGCCTGACCCCAATCCATCTCTGTCTGTCACAAGTATTTTCACCTGTACTGCACCCAGTCAGCTGGTTTTTAGTTCTAATAGTATAAAAGTTGGAAATTTGAAATTTTTATGTAAAAGAAAAAAATGTAAAAATACATCTGCTTTCTCTCATGGTTTAATACAGCACTGGAAGGCTTTCAGATGTTTTCTTAAAAACAAAAACAAAAAACCCAACATTTAAAATCAAATCTCAGCTTCATTTCCAGAAATATTGCAGTTTGGTTTAGGTAATGTTTCATTTCATCTACTCCAGTTTCCACAAAACGGCATTTTATTTAAAAAACCTTTCCGTTATTTGGTCCTTTTGCAATTTGCTGTGCACATAATGCCTACTGTACCAAACTTTTATTGCCTTTAAATTTAGTTGTAATTTTATTGATAAAATTTAAATCTAGTGTCCTTATTTCTTCTGTTACAATAGTGTTGCTTGTGTAAGCAGGTTAGAGTGCACAGTGTCTCCAATTATTCCTGGCACTGCAAAACCAAATTAAACAATTCCACAAAGAATTCTGACATCAATGTGTTTTCCTCAGTCAAGTCTATTTCAAGATTCTAGAAGTTCCTTTTGTAAAACTTGCCTTTGAAACTCTTCCTCCTTAATGTCATCACATCTCTTAACATTGGCTCACTGTGCGATCTCTCCTCTTAGGTTGAATTTGTACGTGAATATGAAAGTGCCTTTTCTCCTGAAAAAGCACAGTTGGAAGCTTTAGTGTGAGAACTCCCTTCTCCTCAGCCTCTCAGTAGGTCTCAGAATCGGAGTCGTTGAGCTCATCCACATCAGTGTATAAGTACTCCTGTTCCCCGCCAATGTTATTGAAACTGCAATAGGAGCTAGGTTCATTCCTCATGATGGGCAAAGCTTCAAAGCTGACTGTTTTTGAGGTGTTGGTATAACGGTTAATGGCATTGAATGTCAAAGATGATAAAGGACTACTTGATGAGACAGGCATCATGGTGGCCAAAATGAGAGCCAGGCAATCAGCCACATCCTTATTGGGAGCACAGGCCAAAGCTGGGGTATAGCCTAAAATTAAAGATAAAATTTAAAAATTAAACATCCTGAGATGTATTTCACTAAAGATAAGGAAATAAGTCTAAAGTACTTCAACTTTGGATATATTTTACATTACTTAGCTTATAATAAATTGCTGTAACCAGGATAATTTGCAAATTTCTAATAAGTAGGAAAAAAAAATAGCCATAGAAACCTAGGGTGGAAGGAGATGTTATGGAATAGATAGCAGAGGAGGAAACAGGCCCAGAAAAGAATTTTTCCCAGGATCTCACAACTTATCCATATCCATCTGAATTCATAGAACAAACTGGGCTAGAATAAGAAAAACATCATAGATCAGTGAATCTTCTTTCAGGATGGTAAACAGAGATTTACTGTTAATTTGTAGTTACGTCAGTGTCAAGAATAGAAAAAATAAAAACCAATTTGTAGTTATGTAAGTAAGCTTTTAGATGCTAAGAAATCGAAATGTGTGCACTTCATGAATGAAATAGGGCAGGTGCTCAAAAATATGTGTTGAATGAATGACACTGGTTGTCAATTTAACTTTTGTTTTCGGGTCATAATCTCTTGAAAAACAGTAGAAAAACTGAACAGATGAACTTTAAAAACTGCTAAATCAAGTATTTCCTTTGTAAATATTCTCTTTTTTTAAGTGGAAGACAACGGACATCAGGCAAAAAGTCCCACCAAGTGTCAACACAGCAAACTAAGGAGGAAACATTTGGTACCTCACTTGGTACAAGACTCAGTCTTGAGGATGGAGTGGGAGAGAAGTGAATACATAGTGTGATGCCAAGGTTCAATTATGCCATATGGAACTCTAATGGTTTATCACAAAGCATACAATTGTATAACCACCATACAGGTTAAGAAAGAGAACACTACCAGCATACCAGGCTTCCACATATCCTCTATCCAATCATTACACTTTTCTTCTTCCACAATGGTACCCACTATCCTAACTTACGGAGTAGTTATTTCCTGGCTTTCAACTTGGAGTCATAAACACTACAGTTTCGTTTTCTTTTTTTGAGACCAAGTCTTGCTTGGTCACACAGGCTGGAGTGCAGTGGTATGAACTTGGATCACTGCAACCTGTACTCCCTGGGCTCAAGTGATTCTCCTGCCTCAGCCTCCTGACTAGCTGGGATTACAGGTGTGTGCCAAAACACCCAGCTAATTTTTTATATTTTTAGTAGAGATGAGGTTTCACTATGTTGGCCAGGCTGGTCTTGAGCTCCTGGCCTCAAGTCATCTGCCCACCTTGGCCACCCAAAGTGCTGAGATTACAGGTGTGAGCCCACCTTACCCAGCCTACAGTTTAGACTTTTTAAAAAACCTAATATAAATGGAATCATGTAGTATATATTATTTCATATCTGGCTTTTTTGCGTAGTATGAGGTGAGATTTATCAATGTTGTTGTATGTAACTGTAGTTGGTTCATTTTCATTTTTATACAGTATTTCATTGTGTGATTATACCATGGTTTAGTTATACATTTCAACTGGGCATGTGGCTGCTTCCACTTCTCCTACATATTTTCATCTATGCTTTATTAGCCTTGATAAAGTTTTTTTTTTTTTTTTTTTTTTTTCCTATAGACAGGGTCTTGTTCTGTCACCCAGGCTGGAGTACAGTGGAATGATCATGCTGACTGCAGCCTCAACCTCTGGGCTTAAGTGACCCTCCTACTTCAGCTTCCTGAGTAGCTGGGATTATAGGCGCATGCCATGCCTGGCTAATTTTTAAAATTGTTTTGTAGATACAGGGTCTCTCTTTGTTGCCCAGGCTGGTCTCAAACTGCTGGCTTTAAGTAAGTGATCTTCCTGCCTCTGCCTCCCAGAGTGCTGGGATTACAAAAGGGAGCTACTGTGCCCAGCCAGAAAAAGTAATTTTTCCCCCCTTTGTAAAGTTCCCATTTTGTTAAGGGTCAAAGGGAACAACTGATGTCCTTGCAAGTTTGGCAGCAGTGGCTGATGGCTATCCATATTTTTAAATTACATTTTATTTGTCCAAAGTAACTAAGGGAGTGCTTCACTGCCCACACTTCTTTCAAGGGTTCTTCTGAAGGTGCCTGCTGCTGCTGTTCCTGCTGCTGGCAGACAGAACAATTCATTACATAGGCCAGGATGCCTTGGATGGGAGTGGGGGTGGGAAAGAAGCATGTTTCAGGTGCATTTTCTAGTCAGAATATGACTAAAAACAGGCTCCTCTGGCTGGAGGGGTCATCCTTTTTTTTTTTTTTTTTTTTTTTTTTGAGACGGAGTTTCACTCATGTTACCCAGGCTGGAGTGCAATGGCGCGATCTCGGCTCACCGCAACCTCCGCCTCCTGGGTTCAGGCAATTCTCCTGCCTCAGCCTCCTGAGGCTGGGATTACAGGCACGCACCACCATGCCCAGCTAATTTTTTGTATTTTTAGTAGAGACGGGGTTTCACCATGTTGACCAGGATGGTCTCGATCTCTTGACCTCGTGATCCACCCGCCTCGGCCTCCCAAAGTGCTGGGATTACAGGCTTGAGCCACCGCGCCCGGCCTTCTCATATATTTTAAAAGGATCCAGGGCAGTTGGTAGCAGTAAAGAAAGAAGTGGGCATTATTTTAGATCTACTTTAGAGGTGGAGTCAATAGTACATGCTGATGGACTATACACTGGGTATGAGCAAGAGGAATCAAGGATGACTCTAGGGTTTTTAGCCCTGAGCAACCGTAAGAGTGAGAATTGTCTTTAAGACCATGATGCTGTGGGAAGAGCAGATCTAGCAAGGGGAGTGGAAAGGATCAACAGTTCAGTTCTGGACATTTTTGGTTTAGGCTGTTTATCAGACATCCATCTGGATGTGTCAACTAGACACATGGATACATAGAGAGACTGTGAAAAGTCTGGGCTGGAGACATAAATCTGGGAATTCTCAGATTATAGGTAGTACTTAAAACCAAAGGACTAGATGAGAGCACTACGGAGTCAATGCAAAGAGAGAAAGCAAAGAGAATGAAGGAATGAGTCCTAGAGAGAGAAATTTTGTAAAAGAAATTGAAAAGGAATAACTAGTAATGTAGAAGGAAAACCAAGAAAGTCTGGGGTTCAAAAAGCAGAGTAAAGAAAATTTATCAAAGGGAAAAAAGTAATCAGCTTTGCCAAAAGCTGATCTTTCAAGTA